ACCATAAAAGAAGTGCGGACACTTTTGTTGCACGGTAGTGATAATTTATCCAGTGTTAATCATTGAAACAGACAAAGTGCGGACCACCGCAACGTAGGTAAGAGGCGCGAACACATCGTGTATATATACATATGTTGATTTAAAAAGACGCGGACAACCCGATACATGAAAGAGGTGCGGACACCTCTGTTGCACCGTAGTGACAATCATTGAAATAGACAAAGTGCGGACCACCGCAACGAAGGTAAGAGGGGCGGACGCCTGTTGCATATAGACCATAAACATTTAACAAAAGGCGGAAAACCGCAAGACAAATTAAAAACCTGTTGCACCGTAGTGATGATATCGTTAAACTAAACAAAGTGCGGACGACCGCAATGTAAGTAGGAGGCGAGGACGCCTTTTGCATACATACATTGATTTAAAAAGATGCGGACAAACATAAAATCCATAAAAGATGTGGGAACAGATTGTGTTGCACAGTAGCGATAATCATTGAAATAGGCAAGGTGCGGACCACCGCAACGAAGGTAACAGGCGCGAACGCATCTTGTACAGATCATATAAACTGATTTAAGGAGATGCGGACAACCGCAAGATACATGAAAGAGGTGCGGACACCTAGTTTTGATATCATTGAACTATATAAACCAAGTGCGGACCACCGCAACGAAGGTAAGAGGCGCGGACGCCTGTTGTATATAGATCGTATACGTTGATTAAAGAAGATGTGGACAACCGCAAAGATGCACAAAAGAGGTGCGGACACCTATGTTGCACGGTAGTGATAATCATTGAAACAGACAAAGTGCGGACCACCGCAATGTAGGTGAGAGGCGCGGACGCCTGTTGTATATAATTAGATCATGTACGTTGGTTTAAAGAGGAGCGAACAACCGCAAGGGGCATAAAAAGGTACGGGCACCTATGTTGCACGGTCAGTGTTAATCATTGACTTAAACAAAGTGCGAACAACAATGCAGGTAAGAGGCGCGAGCGCCTGTTGTGTAGACAGTATTGATTTAAAGAGGTGCGGACAACTGCAAGATGCATAAAAGAGGTGCGGACACCTGCAGCACGGTTGTGATATCATTGAACTGAACCAAGAGCGGATCACCGCAACCTAGGTAAGAGGTGCAAACGCATCTTGAACAATAGAGCATGAATATGTATGTATAAATATATATATATATGTTGATTTAAAGAGGCGCGGACAACCGCAAGAGGTGCGGACACCTATGCTGCACGGTAGTGATAATCATTGAAATAGACAAAGTGCGGACCACCGCAACGTAGGTAAGAGGCGCGGACGCCTGTTGTATATAGATCGTAAACATTGAATTAACTAGACGCGGACAATCACAAGAAAAATGAAAGAAAAATTGAAAAGGTGCGGACACCTGTTGCACCGTAGTGATGATATCGCTGAACTAAACAAAGCGAGGACAACCGCAATGTAGGTAAGAGGCGAGGACGCCTGTTGTATACATACATTGACTTAAAAATTTTAAAATATGGGGACAACCGCAAAAAAATATAAAAGAAATGTGGACACCTATGTGGCACAAAAATGATAACCATTGAACTAAACAAAGTGCTGATCACCACAACGCAGGTAAGAGGCGCGGACGCCTGTTGTATATAGATCGTATACGAAGACGCAAACAGCCGCGAGATACATTAAAAGGTGCGGACACCTATTGAATGGTAGTGGTGATATCGCTGAACTAAACAAAGCGCTGACAAACGCAATGTAGGTAAGAGGCGCGGACACCAGCTGTATACATCATGAACGTTGATTTAAAAAGGTGTTAGCCTATGTTGCACGATATCGATAGCTTTGAACCAAACAAAGTGCGGACCACCGCATTCTATAGGTAAGAGGCACGAAGGCATCTTGTATAGATCATATGCGTTGACTTGAAGGGGTGCGGACAAGTGCAAAAATTCAAAAAAGTGCGCGGACACCTATGTTGCACGGTAGTGATGTCACAAAGCGCGGACGACCGCAATATAGGTAAGAGGCGCGAGCACATAAGATATGTTTATGTAAAGAACTGCGGACAAACGCAAAATACATATCCCAAACAGTTTACTGCTAGGGCTCTCTTTTTTGGGAAAAAACTGGCCACAGTCTCCGCCCCCGCCGGTGAAAGCTGTGTCCAGGCGGTGTCCTCCTGTTTTCCTATTTTGGTCCTTCTTCTGGTGTGCAGTTTGGCCGCTGCTGCCTGCCGGTCTCCAGACCTTGTCCTCCTGTAGTCCTCTTGTTTCTCTCTTTTCGTCCTCTTGTCTTCTTCTTGCCTTTTTCTTGTCCTCTTCTTGTCCTCCTCTTGTCTGCCTCTTGACCTTTTTGTGTCCTCTTCTTCTCCTCCACGTACCCTCCTGCTGTTCTTTTGTTGACACCAGCGTGGCCGCGGCCAGCCTGTCTCCAGACCTTGTGCTGCTCATGTCCTCTTGTTCTCTCTTCTTGTCTTCTTGTCGTCCCGTTGTCCTCCTCCTCTTGTCCTTTTCTTGTCCTCCTGATGTCCGCGTGTTCTCCTTCTGCTGGCGCTTGGCTGTGCTGGTGAACCCAGCTTGACGCGTCTGCTAGCCCGTCTCCAGTCCTTGTCCTTTTGTTGGAATTATTCATTTGTCCTCTCCGTGCCCTCTCCTTATCCTCTTCTTGTCCTCCTGTTGTCCTCTTCTTCTCCTCCTCTTGTCCTGGCTTTGTCCTGTTCTTGACCTCTTCTTGTCCTCCTGCTGTCGTTTTGTTGACACCAGCTTGGCCGCGGCACCCGCCAGTCTCCAGACCTTGTCCTCCTGTTGTCCACTTTTTGTCCTTTGTCCTTTTCTCTTTTTGTCCTCCTTTTCTCCTCTTGTTGTCCTCTTCTTGTCCTCCTGTTGTCCCCTTGTTCTCCTTCTGCCGGTGCCAAGTGGCAGCATGGCAGCATGCAGGCATGAAGCCATAAAAGCACGCGCGCGCGCGCCCCGCGCGCGGGAAGCACCGTCCCCAAGCGCAATCAAAGGGTCCAATGCGAGAAGCCAAATGCACACGCGCAAGCCTTGCGTGGCACTTAGTGGGAAGCGCCCGCCAGCAAGCGTGAAGACCGCAGCAGCGCACCATGGCCATGTGGCAGCCTGTCAGAATGTAAACATGACAACATGCGAGCTTGCACTACAAAGCACTGAGGCACTAGCAAGACAACTCCAGAAAGCAACCCCAGAAGCCTATGTCCACCTCCTGTTGTCCTCTTCATGTCTTCATGTGAGGTTCTCTTGTGGGAAAAACAACAGGCCACAGTGTCAGGCCGTGCCGACAAGCCCTGTCCGTATGTCCTCGTCTTCCCCTCCCGTCATAATCTTTTCGTTTCCCTTCCCTCATCCTTTTGTCCTCTGTTGTCCTGCTATTTACATTGCTTTCCCAGGCAAGGGCGGGAGCTGCGGCCACCCACCACCACGACATCCATTCTTGCCGACTAAGCTGCTTGGGGTCTATGCTGGTATTTTAAACAGAAAGTGTGGACACCTATGTTGCAGAGTAGTTATATCATCGAACTAAACAATTGTGCGGAACACCGCAATGGCAATACAAGTAAGAGGCGCAGGCGCCTGTTGCGCTGATTGAACCAGCGTGGGCACCATCGCAATGTAGGTAAAAGGCATGAATCCCTGTTGTATAGACAACGTGCCTTGGAGTGAGAAGCACTGCAAAATGCATACAAAGGTGGAGGCACCTGGCCATATATGTGCATCCAAACACAACCTTCTGAGGCAGAGTGGCAGAGCTTCCCCCCTTCGGCATTAAACAGTAAGTGTCCCATCCTTTGGAGGGTCTTAGATTTGGCATGTACATCCAGGTCAAGGCTTCTGTTTTTTCTTCTCCTCCTCCTCCTCCTTCTTCTTTACACCACACAAACCCAACATATCCCAACATGTATCTCTATGCATTATATAACGTCAACTTCTTGCAAACCCCTGCGCACCATGCAGTGCATAGGGTGAGTTGTGGTGCAGTTTCAGTTGTTCGGACAACAAAACGGCAGAAGGTGTCCCACACTCTTGAAGCGGAAGAGTGACCTTTCGTGATTCCGTAAGTTCTTCGCAAGTCGTGGAATGCATCACAATATGCCTTCGTCTAAAAAGCAGAGGGTTCCCTGACATGAAGTGTCGGGGCGATGATGAAAAACACCCATAATTTGCATCCAATTTGGGGTCTCAAAGTCCACCCATCATTGATCTTGCGCCGCTTCAATGTCAAAGCGTCGTGGATGCTGAAGCCGAAGAAGCCACGGCGCCACACAGCTTCTTCGGTGTTTCGTGGTTGGACGTCATCCGCAGGTTCGAACAGTGTGATAAGATAAACGTTGTTCCAATGGCAAATACAAATGAACATTGATCTTCCTGGCAGCACACATTGATGTAGTGTCTTTGATGGAAAATTGGCTTTAGTTCATCCCGCATACGGAAAGAAAATCGTATGACAATGTACCTGGCAGTGAAACTGAACATCTCGCTTTTTTCCACCAGAAATCCTTCCAGTGCCTGGAGAACGATCCCCGCAATCTGAGGATCACGTGATCAGTGCCGATCCGAACGAACCGATCAGGCTTACCGGTGGGTCATGGCACGATCGCGAACGGTGCCATGACCCGCGGGTCTATCGGGGAGGTCCATCGGTTTCACTTTTGGGGGCTCCAGGTCGAGTGATTTGGGTGACTTCGGCATGGCCTTCGTGCCACTCGTGCCACGGGCGCCACGGAACCACGGGTGTACGTGTGAATTGGCAAAACATGTTAAACATTGTCAAAGTATGTCAAAGTATATCCTGTCAGTACACCACACAATCCCTGGAATCGTACCCATCTTATTGCACAAGCTAGAAATCCGCTCAAAAATGCTCAAAGTACGTTGTGGCTTTGTTGGATCATCTATACCAATACATCTGTGAAAATTCCTTTGAATGACATCTGGGCAAACAGCCAGCAGTTCTCGCCATGGTGTCGCCCGTGTCCTTTTTGTCAGCCGCCGTTTGCTGGCGTGCTTCCAGTGTCAGGCCTCAGGGAGACCGAACTGAGCACATGGAGCGAGGAAAAAGGCGATCCGCCACCGTGGACAAGCGCAATCAATGAAAATAAAAACTAGTAGGAAGGACGTTATTAGGTGGAGGCCATCGCAAGTAGGTTGGAGGCCATCGCTACTAGGAACAAGAAGCTACAGTACTAGTAACACATAAAAACACTTCAGATTGCTCTTGCTTGGAAAAACTTGGAAAGCTGTTGTAATCAGAGAGAAAAAATGATAAAAAATAGTTTCAGTTTGACAGCTTGACTAGAGTTTGATCAACTTATTAAACTCTGGCTGACTTTCTGCGCAGCATGTCTGCAGGCCACCCTGCAAAATAGAATTTACACCAGGTGTTTCAGGAAGAGAGGCCAGGCCGCATGCTAGAGCGACCTATGAGGCTCTCAAGGGCAAGGCACTAGTTCCACACCCTTAAGCCTTAAGCACAAAGTTTCAGCACCCGGCACGTTGGAGGACAAAATACAAGTATCCAAGCATCTCAATACCCCCGAAAGTTTGCAGACCTTTTTGCACCTGCTACACCATCTTACACTGCCAAAGATGAACTGAACCCGCTGATGCCTATACATCATGACCCTCTCGAACAGGTTTTGGGGACCCTGAAAACACAGCGACCGTCCATGTGTCAACACATGTCAACACTGCGACCGTCACGAGATCGGTCGCGGCTGTATTCAGAAACTGGACGGTTGTATTCTGAATACAACGAAATAGTTTCTAAAGACTAGTGTCTAAATACAGCGCAGTTTCTGAATACGACTTTGTTCCACCCAGTGGCGGAAAGTGCGTCGTCGGTCGCCCCTCTGCGTCGTACGTCACCTTTAAGGCAGTCCTCGGACGCAGGCGACCGGGGCGGGAGAAGCGACCAGGGTGAGGCAACCGGGCGCCTTGTTTGGGGAGGGCCTTGGTGAGTGAAAAGACTGGGGAGCAAGGCCAAAAAGGCCTCTAAGAGTAAAGGAGTATATTATTATAGATCATGGATTTATGGATCCAATCGATATATGGATCTGTCGATATCATGTTTATAACATCTATATATATATATATATGTGTATTACAACTATATATATATATATATGCTACCCCCCCCCAAAAAAAAAGTCCACATTTTTTCGGCTTGCACTAGTATTTACAGTGGTTTGATGATATTTTGGCATTCATTTTTTGGGGGTACATTTTGAGGATTTTTTTGTCTGGTCTGTTGAATTGCATGTCACCATATTGTGCATTGGGCGATAGGAATCTTGAGATAAGTTGTTCATTTGGGAACTAGCAGCCAGAGTTTTGCAAAAGTTTGGTATTTGGATTTAACCTTATGATTTTGGAGGTGCCAAGAAGATTCCAGAATGCCTCTTTGTTGAATGTTTCCCAGCAAGCAGAAGGG